GTTTCAAAGGCTTTGTCATTTTTATGCCACTAAGAGGTGTTCGAGACTTATTTTTTGGACATAACAAGCATATATTTAAGAAATTGAGGGTAATTTCACATGTTCTAATTCGCCCGTTTTCTACCTATTTTCAGTAAGCCTTAATAATTATTTGCAGGCCTGCAAATTCTGTCTTCGCCTTTCACTTTTGTGAGTTCAGACCCGGATTTGGTTTCTGTCCATCGGGAATCAATCAGCAGACTCGAATTTTTGGATATCCTGTATGCTGGATATGATGGGTTAGTTGATTCGTTGAGGCGTCTCATTTATCATTCATTTTCCCTTCTAATCTGCAAAAAAAAAAAAAAAAAACATGACTGAAAAGGCATTTGTGCTGCATTTCTTGAAAGAGCTGCATTGATGAATTCAGTTCTCTATTTTGAATCTTTTGGAATCACATCTGCCACCGCAGTACATGCCGTGAGTTTGCTTCACATTGCCGATATTTCGCTGCAAACTGTATTTCCTTGTTTAATTTGCTTTTTCTAAAGCCATATGACCATAGCTGCCTCTCACAGAGTAAATTAGCACACTGGCTCATTATCGCTGCAGGTCAACGAAGAATACGACAGCAGCTATCTGGATTGAAGGAGTCCCACCGATAATGAATGGCCTTCGAGTTGAGAACAGTGCTCGAGACGCTATCCACATCGAGCAGCCGAGTGGGCCGGTTTTCATCGCCAATTCAACGATTATTAATAATAGGTTTATTAGCAATGCGAGATTTATGAATTAAACTTTCTGATGATTCTCGCTCTTATCCGCATGCAGCTAAGGGATGAAACACAGACTGCATCGTAAAATCCAACCCTTCTTAAGTCCAAACCCTCTATTCTACTATTTTATATCAGCCCGGCTTGGCACGGCTGGTTTGCTCCATTTTGGTCTGTACTGTTAGAGGCAGTATGATGAAACTAAACCGCCATTTACTCATTCCTTTCTACTACGCTTCATTGCTTTAAGGATTTGGTGTTAGCACTCAGAAATCATGGGCGAGGCAGTCGTGGTTTCCTCTTTTGGCAGACTTAAGCATACAGCATGCTGAACACTGTTCATCAGGCATTCAATCGCTAAAACGAATCAGCTGGACTAAATTTTCTTATACTGGCTTCAAACCGGAAACATTGTAATAGCCCGTGCTTCTGCGACATCCCTAAGCACATGTTTGAAAAAGAAAACCAAATATTATGTGCTTTCAGCCGAGGATGTATTTCTTTACGAAGGCTCATTTGCAGAGGTCATGGAATAGCAATAAGTAATAGCAGTGATGGGCGAGTGTATATTAACATGACAACCATTGCAAATAATTTCGGGGACGGTATTCACTATCGTGAGCAATTTGGAGCATTCTGGCACCTCACTTCATCTGGTTAGTACACAGTTTTGTAACTGGAGGAAAATTTGATGCTCTGAATGCTATTCATTTGTAAAATTTGATGCCATTCATTGAATTACAACGTAAAATCAGTCGAAATAGTTCAGCTTGCAAAATATAATCTGTCATAGACGTATCTGATCCAAGATTTAAAGCACTGAAATTATTTCTGCTTTTGAGTTCCTGGGAACCAAAGGTACTTTTATATTTCAAATTTTTGACTAATTTCGGCTCAAGCAGGTCGCGCTTTACAGTTGAGATGATTTTTATGCGTTGTAATTTTATTTTTCCCATCTATTTAATGCAAAAAAGTGTACTGAAGTTGTCTGCGTGTGTGTATATATATATATA